GGAAAGTATAAAAAACTTGAATTGAAACATGGAACAATCACTCTTACTGGAATGTTTTGTATTATGCCTCACGTTGCCTCTAAAAAACAATAACACAACATTTTCTTGTTATAACTGTACAAGTTTTACATTTTTATAAAGTAAACTCTCTCACCACCTTTCCTTGCTAAAAAAAAAAAAAGTGTTTAAGATAACTAGATATTGTGTAGAAGGAACGAGATTGCAAAACAATGTAAATCGAGTATAGAGAGGGGCTGTTTTCCTTTTCTTTCTTTTTTTTGACACTGGGGGCACATTGAGGAAGGAGGTGGTTGGCTGAGTTAAGAGTTAGATGTTCAGACACTGTCCCTCGTGGGGATGGCTAATAGACCACTTGATGCGGATGTATAAAGAGGGGCTGTTTGTTTATAGGCTTTTGAAATGTAACTGAAAAGATTTGAAATTAATTTATTTGTAACAGCTGATTACAAAAATGTTTATAGAATTTAAAATATTTAAATAAAACGGTTAGGCATATTATTCAGTTGGTAGAAAAACTGATTCTCATAATTGATGAATTTTGAAAAGTTTTAATTTGGAAATTTCAAATGCAATCAACCGGTACGAAAAAAAATATGTAACTGATGAAAGGATAACATTTTGGAATTTTTTTAATTAAAATTCACCCTAGGAGTTTTAGGAGATTTTATCGTTTCCATTTTTCACTTGTTACTCATATCTTTAACTTGAACTTGATATCCTACACCTTCACCCCCATCTTGACATTTCTCCCAAATAGCCCCTAGACATGTAAGGTTTTATTACCATATAAGTTATATTCTAGTATTAATTTTGCCTTGAACTTTTTAAGGAAAAAAAAAAAAAAAGATAACCTTGACCGTTTTAAGGAAAAAAAAGATACGAAATAATAGAATATTCTCTTTTCTAATTAGCATAATTAATTCCCTATTTAATTTGTGTAGGTGGTTAACTTTATAAATTGATAGGTTTGAAGACTAGAATCATTCATCATATCATTTTTAGCATACAAAAGAAATACAACACACCAACCTCCAAAAGAAAAAATATGGAGAAACTTTCACTCAAATTGGTTTTCTTGACTGCACTCTTGATATTTTCACTTGGTAAGCAGCTTCCTTCTTGCTATACACTTTCCCTTCAACACTTCTTTTTTTTTTTTTAATATTATGATTACTTATAAGTTTTCTATTAATAAAATTTTACTATAGGTTTACATGCTACAACGGAAGCAGCAAGATTAGGTGCGCCATGCCGTAGAGACATTGAATGCGGTCTTCCATGCACTTGCCAAATTACAAGCTCAGGTCAAGGTAAGTGTGTTTGTGGCGATTCTCAAGCTAAATTATTTGAAGAAACCTTGTCCAAGCATCCAAAAGTGCAAAAAGAGGTGCCATGAAAAGGAGGGATTTAGATGTATTTTGAGGAGGAAACCATGTATGTGGAAAATAAAAATGTTGATCAATAACTAATAATCACTTTGGTTTCGAGATTGTTCGCATCCTTAAAAACAATAAAAGTTCCATCTTTCATTTTTTTTAATATCTTCATTTTTAGCACATTAGTCAACGTTTGGTATGGCTTTATTTTAGCCATAAAATGAGAAGGCAAACATGACAATGAGAAGGCAAATTAAGATAGCTCTGAAAAATGGACAATCTCACAAATCTCCTAAATGCTAAACCTCAACCCAACTTTTTTTCAGATGTTGCGCGATCAACTTGTTGCATTATGTCAATATGGACAAGAAAATTTTAAAATCTCCTCTTTATGGTAGGAATAATTAAGATGGAAAATATCATTCAAGAACCGTTTCTAAAATGTAGGATTTATTAAAGGAATTGAAAGCACATAAAGTGTTGAACACAAAGATAAGAGTTGCAACATAAAGAGTTGAGGAGAAAGGAACTGAAAGCAATGTTTTGAAAGCTGGCCTAACCTAACCAGTTCAATCGACTGGACTAGGTTTGATTTTAAAAATAAGCTGGGTTTATGATAATAACTCGTTTGAAGTTAAATCTGATCAAAATCCATCCACAGACCTAATCAAACCGCCTAAATCTGGTCAACCTTGTTTACCCAATAGATTCAACTCTTTTTTTAACATTTTCACTTTTTTATTTTTTAAATTGTTATATTTCTATTGATTTAATTAATAGATAATATAATAATTAAATGGTAAAATCTATTTAAAATCAAATCACACTTAATAAATGTAAATTTTTAAATTAATTTAAAATTAAATTACTACTTCAAATTAGAGAGTAATTTTAACTTAAAATCATATCAATTTGATTTTAAAAATAAAATAAATAACTACTTTATATAATGAAATGAATGAAATCAATTCAAAATTAAGTAATTTTGGAAATAGAATCAATTACTATTTTAGATAATGAAATAAATGAAATCTTTTTAAAATTAAAATTAAATAAAAATCAATTTAAAATTAAATAAAATCAATTTAAAATTAAAATTAATCTCAAAAGTAATTTTGGAAGGAAAATCAATACAAGGAAAAAATAATTTTATAATTAATATAATATCAATGTTTTAGATGCCTATTAAAGATAATATTTTAATAAATTTAATGAATGAAATTAATTTCAAATTAATAAATTTTGAAAATAAAGTCTTAAAAATTAATAATTACCTTGATCAATAAATATAAAAATGATTTCAATAAATTCTAAAAATAAAATCAATTAAAGTAAAAATAATTTATAACTGATAAAATGAATTAAATAGCATTTATTAAGTTGATCAGATAAATCAATTAAAATAAAAATAATTTATACCTGATAAAATGAATTAAATAGCATTTATTAAGTTGATCGATTAGCTTGGCTAGCTAAACAAGTCCAACAGGTTGAACCAGGCTTGGTGACCAAAATAGGTCAATCATCGGGCTGGGCTTTAAAACATTGACTGAAAGCACATAATATGATGCTAATTTATCTTTGATTTTATTAATATTTGAATGAATTTAATATGATTTTATTCAATTCCACATTATTTCTATTATTTGTGTACGGATAGGACTTAACTTTTAAAAATCATAAATTTAAAACTAAATCACAATGCTTCACAAAGTTGAATAAAATGGTGAGATTGAGAAGTAACTGTAGAATTATGAAATCTAAGGACCGAAGTACAAAAATTTTAGAAAGTTGAGAACTAACACTATAATTTTCCCTTTATAAAAAGTAAAGGAAGTCCATCAAGGAAATAATTGGTGAGGGTATCGCATCTCTTCATGTCCTTATATATATATAGGAAATAAATTGCAACCCTAGTGCAATAAAATTAGAAAGATATTAAAAAAAATCAAGTTAGATACTATAATATAGTGTGAAAAAAATTAATAGAAAATGAAATCTTATTAAATTTAGATTGCAATATTATATAGGCCAAAACTCTTATTTTCACCCTATATTTTTTCTTTCTTTCTACGGTCAACACTTTAAATTAATTTTTATCTTCGACAACAACCTAAATTATTCAAAACCCATAAAAAAATTTAATATTTTAACAACTGGCCACATGTCTGTGACGTGAAGTTTAAAAATTGTCAACCAGTGCAATACATAGCACCCAAATAGTAATATGGACATATGTGACATTATAACTCTAATGCAGAATATTTTTAGATGAGGTGACATTATTTTTTACACACATGGACGACGTGTATGCACTGGAGATCACTTTTTTTGGCTGAACTTTTCCCGCTTGTCTTCGTGTTGAAAAAAAGAAAAAAAAAATATATATATATATATATATATACAGTGGCGGAGCCATGGGGTGCAAGGGGGTGCTCGCCCCTCTGAAATTTGAAAATCTTACAAATTAGTATATGAAAAATTATTTAGTCTCTCCTGAACTTTGAAAATTTTAGTATGTTTCCTTATCTTCCCCTTTCACCTTCCTCCCGTGAACCTTATCGAAATATCTGATAAGAAAGCAACGTCGAGGACATATGGAAATTTATGAGTTTTTTATGTCTCATTTTCTTCCTCTGTTATAGGTTTCCTATGTTGTTGTCCTGTTTTCCCCTAAATTTTCATTCCCAATTTCTCCAGATTCTTGAACTTTCCTTTAAATCCATCAAAAAGGCTTCCTTTTCCAAATATAAAATTCAAAGCACATAATTTAATTTCTTTAATTTTCTTTTGTCTTATAATCAATTCAATTCAAGCTCAAAACAAAACCTCACCTTCATATGTCCTTGACTGTGGTGCTTCTGGTGACGGGACCCATTCAAATGGATGGAAATGGACTCAGGATACAAAGTTTCTTACTTTCTCTGACAAAATGACAAGGCAAAAGCCCAATCCCATGACCCTGTTTCGTTGGCGACCCACCTCTACCTCGAGCTTCATTTCTATCCATCTACATATAGCAACCTTGTTATGTTGGATTCATATTTTTTAGTTGCAGCAGATGGCTTCACCCTCTTGAAAAATTTCAACGCTGGCGAAGATCTTAAAGTACTATGTTTTTCTGGTTTTTTTTTTTTTTTTTTTTTTTTTGGGACACAGATACAAGCGGGAAAAGCCCACCAAAAAGTAGTCCAATGAACACGTGGCATCCACATTTGCCGAAAATAATGTCACATTCCATGGTGGGTCTATTCTATCACGATAGCTAAAGTACTGTTCATTCAAGCAAGACCTCTACCTTCCATGATAAATCAAAGTATATTGATATTAGATATCATTGGATTAGAGATGTCCTAGATTTTAAGTTGTTTGAACTTTAGAAAATTCACACAAATGAGAATTGGTTGGATATGATGACCAAAGCTTTGCCAAGAGAAAAGTTTGAGGCATATTGCTTGATGGCTAGAATGGCGATCTCCTCCACATAGTCAAGAGGGGGAGAATCATTGGGTTAGGCGTATCCCTCCTATGTTGAGAAATGGCTTTTGTGGACTAAGTCCACACTTGTTAAGCCCACTTGAAGCTACATTTTGCATCCCTTTAAGACAAAGAAAGAGGTCTAATTTGGATGGTAGAAAGTGCAAAACACGTGAGTGGACCAATTGGCAAAAAGGGAAAGATAGCAAGGGAGAATTCTGGAGATTTGGTACAGTGCACAGTTTTGCAACTTTGTCTGATCTGAAAAAGTTTATCATTGGATTGAGCTGAAATTTGATATGGGGTTCACAAGACTTTGACCTACAATCTGAATGGTCAGTTTTTCGTTTGTAGCGCTGTAGGTCCAGTTTTTGTGCCTTTACAAAAAACTCGTGTTTTGGTGACGGTCTCTCTTTGTAATCCCTTTTGTCTTTGTTGGTTAGTGGCCTACTGTTCCTTTTATTTGATACTATTTTTGAGCCCGTTTAAAAGAGGATATTGTGTACTCACTTTTATCATAGTGGAGTTATTTTAAGTGAATTGGATGTCTCGTGGTTTTACTCATTTTTGGGGTTTTTCACATAAAAATATTGTGTCTCTTGTATGGTTGCTTTGCCTTAGCTATTTTTATTGTTCTGCATATTTTTCAGTTGCTGCCATAATTTATTTGGACTCAATTTAGCTTGCTCCTAACAATTTCAAATAGATTTGGGAAGATTTTGGTGTTGCTTTTATTTCCGTTGTGCTCAGGTGACACCCGTTCTTCCCAACACCTAAGGGATCAATCAATACCAATTTCACCAGAAACATGCTCTTATCTTACTCACAACCCCATCATATAAGTGTCAAGGTTGTGACAGACACTGCTCAGGCTTGGCTTACAGGTGTGGGCAATGCTATTTTTACTTAGATATCAAATGCGCCTTACTTCCCACAGCAAATTGTGAAGGTGCCAAACGGATTCAACATGTCTACCATCCCCATCCATTGGAGCTTTGTGAGATTGAGGATGGCTGTGAAGCTCGCTGCTGGGCATGTCTAGAGAACTCCCCAGGCCCTCATTTTGTGTGGCACAGATGCAAACTTTTCCTACATAAATCATGTACCATTGATTTATTGCAACAAACAATCCAAGGTCATCCATTCCACCCCAGTCATTGTCTCAAGATCAAATCCTACGCTAAAGAAGGATTTAGATGCAGAGCATGTGGGCTGAATGACTCTAATGTCTTAGCTTATTGCTGCAAGGATTGTTCTGACTTTGAATTTCACTTGGATTGTTCTAATTTGACACCCTCTATTAACTATGGCAGCCACCGACACCCGTTTACTCTCTTTCAGAAAAGAGGTAACCCTGGTTCCTGTTTGATTTGTAAAGATGATTGTGAATCCTTCTTCCTTCGGTGTGTTCGTTGTGACATAACTCTCCATCTTCAGTGCCATCCGTTGGCACCAAAAACACCCAAACATGAAGACCATGGACATCCTTTAACTCTGACTAAATCTGCCCTTGATTCCGATTTAGAATATTATGGGTCTCGAGATGAATATTACTGTGACTTCTGCGAGCCACCAAGGCCACCCAAGGATCCAGTTTACCATTGCAAGGAATGCGACACATCTGCTGACATGCCGTGCTTCATCTCGCAGGTATGTCCGTGTCAAAACGAGAATTTGACAATGTTAATTTTTTGTCATTTTACAAATATTGGGCGCCTATTTTACTAGGTATTGCCTTCACTACCTATAGAGGACCAAACCAGTATGACTAGTGGAGTCGGTGAAGAAGATGACAACTTCGAAGAGGACAAAAGTTGTACAACTGACCCCAAGATAGTGAAGTTTGAAACACAGATTGCAAAGGTTAAAGCAGAGTTGGAACAAAAAGAGTCTAAGAGAAAGGAACTGAAAGCACAAGTGAAGGCCCTTCAAAGGGAAATAAAGGAATTAAGTAATGAAAGCAGCGAACTGGAACGGTGGATGCAAAAACTTGAGCTTGCGTATCTATCTTATATTGCACCAAAACTAGCAAAATCCAAATTTAAAGCCTTATAGCAGACTATATCAGTATTGTTTAGTTACTAGAAAATGCATTTGGAAACAAGCAAATTCAAAGCTCAACTTTTCATTTAATTGTTCACATACTGGCTTTAGTTTTATTTTATTTAAGAGGGTTAATTCATTTAATTGAAAGTGGATATCATTCCAATTAATGCTTGTCTAACTTAGTCAGCTTCTCTCCATATATTCTTGTGAATTAAATTCCTGCAAATCAGAGGATTAAATTCTCCTTAGACTAACGTGAATAAGGGGATCTTTCCAAGACATATTTATAGGCCTACGAATGATTTATTTTATAAGATATTTTTGGTCCTAAAGTACAATATATGGTTGCAATTAATATATTAATATATCACGCTATTATGATATAACATATTCTGAAAATTTAATGATGAGATTTTATCATACAAGAACTTGAAGTCTCTCTAAATGAAATTAAACACATCAAGTATGAGGCATGGATTTGCCTATTACAAACCTAACATCAAGTATCAGTAATTGAGGCATGAAAGAATACAGCATTAATATAAAAAAAATACAACAGACATGTTCGCTACCTAGACTTTTTCAGGAAAAAATTAAGGGTTGAAAGTATATCTGACGGTCTCACTTATTGACTCCATCACAATTGTTTTTTTTTTTTTTCTCTCTCTCCATGTTTCCATGTTACTTGTTACATCATCTCAAGTCGGTAGAAGAAGAAAAGACAACAGTTGTTTCTCGGAGGTGAAAAATAGAAGATGAAGTAAAGAAAATATTAGTATAAATAAATTAATTAAAGATGAAAAAGTAAAAACTAGAATGATATCACTAAAAGTACGAAAAGTTAGAAAAAATTACTTCCTTTTTTTTTTTTTTGAACATGACCCTTCGGGCCAAGTGACTCTAGTCACGCTTATAAGGTTCATGTCCTCCTCCTCAGGGCAACGATTCGAGCCGGCCGCTTGACAAAATGTTAAAAAAAAAATTACTTTTTTTTGAAATGTTTTATATTACACCTCATGCTGTCTCAAGATATGATAACCCAACTTTTCCTTATTATAACTTTACAAATTCTACATTCTTATACAAAGCAAGTTCTACCTCATTACCTTTCCTTGCCCAAAAGAGTTTAAGAGAACTAGATATTGTGTATAAGGAATGAGAGGGCAAAAGAATGTAAATCGAGTAAAAAGAGAGGCTGACTGTTTATAGGCTTGTGATATGTAACTGAAGAGATATGAAATTTATTTGGAACGGCTGATTAAAAGAAAATATTTATAGAATTCCAAATATTTAAATGAAACGGCCAAGTATATTACCCAGTTGGTAGAAACATTGGTTCATAATTGATGAGTTTTGAAAACTTTTAATTTAAACTTTTTCAAATGCAATCAAGCGATTATGAAATAATTAAGTGTGTAACGGATGAAAGGATAAAGTTTCTAAAACTTTTAATTAAAATTTAGCACAACAGTCGCAGAAGATGTTATCATTTCCATCTTTTACTTGTTTCTTATATCTTGAACTTGATATCCTACACCTTCACCTCCATCTTGACCTTCCTCCCAAAGAACCCCTAGACATTTAAGGTTTTATCACCATATAAGCTATATCCTGTGCACTAATTTTGCCTTGAACTTTTTAAGGAAAAGAAGATTAAAAAATATTTATTTACCTAATTAACATAATTCCTTATTTAATTTGTATAGATGGTTGACTTTATAAGTTTGTAGGTTTAAAGAGTAAAATTATTTATCATATCATTTTTTGCATACAAAAGAAATACAAGGACACCAACTTCCAAAAGAAAAAATACGGGGAAGGTTTCACGCAAATTGGTTTTCTTAAATGCACTCTTGATATTTTCGCTTGGTAAGCAGCTTCCTTCTTGCTATGCTTTTTTTTTCTTTCAACATTTTTCTTAAAAAAATATTATGATATATATAAGTTTTCCATTAATAAAATTTTATTTGAGGCCTACACATTATAACAGAAGCAAGAACTATGAGTGGACCATGCCATTCAAACTCTAATTGCAATATTTCAAAATGCAAATGCATTTTTATAACTCCAAGTCAAGGTTTATGTACTTGTAATGCTTCTCTAACTAGATTATTTGAAGAAACCTTGTCAAAACATCTAAAAGTGCAAAAGGAAATATCATGAAAAAGACGAATTTATTTAGATGTATTGAGACGAGGAGATCATGTATGTGGAAAACAAAAATGTTGATCAATAGCTAATAATTACTTTGGTTTCAAAATTGTTCACCTCTTTAAAAATAATAAAAGTTTCATCTTTCATTTTTTTTAATATCTTCATTTGTAGCACATTAGCTGATATTTGATATAGCTTTATTTTAGCTATAAAATGAGAAGGCAAACATGACACTAATACATCGAGAAATTTCTATAAAATGAGAAGGCAAAGATAGCTCTGAGGAATCAACAATCCCACAAATCTCCTAAATGCTAAACCTCAACCCATCTTTTTTTCAGATGTTGCATGATCAACTAGTTGCATTATGCCAATATGGGCTATAAAATTTAAAATCTCCTCTTTATGGTAGGAATAATTAAAATGTAAAATATCATTCAAGAACCACTTCTAACATGTAGGATTTATTAAAGGAACTGAAAGCACAAGTGGAGGACCTCCAAAGTGAAATAGAGGAATTAATTAATGGAAGCAACGAACTGGAACGAAGGGAAAAAAAGACTTGAGCGTGCCCGTCTATCTTATATTGCATATAGATCATGCAGACTCCAACTTTGAAGAATCAACAGGGGAAGGACGTTCTGCCCAGCCATGATTAGGTGTCCAAAAAAGAGTCATGGGTTCGTCTTTGTGGCCATATCGATATTGTCCTTTGGTGCATACTATATCAGTTTGTCTATTAATTAACCAGAAAATGCATCTGGCTTTAGGTTTTTTTTCTTTTTTCTTCTCTAAATTTTAAGAGGATTAAGGATTAATTTAATTCACAGTGGATATTATTCCAATTAATGTATGTCTTAGCTCAGCTTCTCTGTTTATATTCTTGTGAATATATTCTTGATAATCAGAGGATTAAACCTGATTGCAGTCAACGGGAAAGATCATCAACCCCGTGGATTATGGATATTTATCACATTTGTCTCTTTTAAGGACATCAAATAAACTCAAAAGTAAGATGATACACCCAATTTTTTTTACAATAAAATCTTACCAACTATTTTTTCGTTGCAGGATACATGACAGGCATCCACTCATTCGATATGATGTTATTTTTTTTAATTTTTAAAATAGACAATTTCTTTTTCCAATTTAACCTTATTGATATCCCATGGGGTTAATTCTCAATTTTATCATCGAAATCTTCCCTTAACTCTAAAGCTTTATATAGATTATACAGGTAAAAACATAAATTGTCAAAAACATTCTGAATATGTGAAAAAAAAAAAAAACTCAAAAAAGTTCTATTATGGGATATAGATGAAATAAGAAACACAGTATGAATCAACTTCAAAATATTTTTGCACATATTTTAACAATATTCTTCCTTAATTTATCTTAATGGTACGGACCCCATATCCATATCCACTTGGTACATTTAAGAAAATCAATAAAATTAATTATCACATTTAATTTAAGACATTTAATGAGATTGGGGCCTTTGTTTTGGAGTGCTTTACCATATGAAGCTGTATTATGCTGTGACTTTATTTTTTAAAATATTATTTCTTATCATATGTAAAATATTAATTATAATTATTAAAAATATATAAAATATTAATTATAATTAACTATTTATTATAAATTCACATTTTTAAATATGGTGCTATAAAAGAAAAAAAAACTTTAAAATGTATTGTGTAAAGGATAAAGATATGTACACCCACCGGTTCAACACCGGTGGGTGCACATATTATAGAATAAAAGTTTTCCTGTATAAATCAAATGATAAAATTACAAATTTAACCTTCGTCCTCTTTTTCTTCCATCATCCTCTAATCACCATTTTTACCCATCATCTCCGATCTTCATCATCCTCCACCTTCATCACCGATCATTCTTCTTCATCATCAATC